GGGAAGAGTCAGGGATCAAATGGACCCCCAGACCAAGAGCCCAGCCAGCAATGTCCCCACCGCTGAGGGAGTGGGGATCAGCAGTGCAGGGAGGGGTGAAGTGAGAAGTCCACTTTGTCCAGGGGGCAGGTGTGGCGTGTGGATGAGCGGGGTCTCTGGGAATTGAAATCAAAGGAAAGCTGCTTCCCACTCCGCCCCGGGGGCCCCCCAGCGGCTGGTGTGCGGTGTAGTGTGGCGGTGAGGGTGCAGGTGGGTGGCGGGGATCCGTGGGCCCGGGGGAAGGGTGGGAGCCGTGGGTGCGGAGCGGAGCTGTCCAGTCCCAGAACGAAACTGGTACTCAGCGAGGGAGCCCGTGGCACAGAGGCGAGGTCACTGCTGCTCCTCTGAGGACTCCTCCGCGATGCCCACTTCTTTCTCCTTCTCAAGTGTTTTGGGTCTGCCTCTTGGTTTTCTCCCTGGAGTTGTGGTGGTTTTCCGGGTCTTGGCAGCACCCTTGTTTTTGTTCCCCTTCGGTCGCCCCCGAGGTCTCTTAGGTGTTGGCACTTTGCTGGGCTCCTTCGGAGGCCGCTTGCGCTGCCTGCCCCACCCTGGCTTCTCAGCGTTGTCCTTTTCCTGCTTGGAAAAAGCCAAGGGCTGGCTGGACTTTGAGCTCCACTCGCTCATCTTTCCTGTCTCCAGGGCAGGTGGAGGAGCGACGGCTGGGACGCGCGAGTCGGCCCACTGGCCTGCGGTGCGCGCTCCCAGCTACCGGGAGCCCCGGTGCTGGATGCTGAGGCCCCGCCTGGCTCCCCCACTCCTGCTGGTCGCAAATGCGGGTGCCTTCTTGGAGCCGCACCAGGGTCAGAAACAGCCCGGACTCGGAGTCCCAATTAAGGGAGCCCAATTTACACTTTTTAAATACTTTTGCAGGTATTTTTCTATCAAAAGCATTCTAATTGACTCTCAGGAAGTCAACATTCTGTCTATTCCTAGTCAACAAGTCAAATTGATAGTTAGACAAGTTTAGAGGTAAATACAATTTCTGAAAATACACGTATATATCTAGCTATCTATCAAATTATTTCATTTACTACAACATTTTTCACAATATAATTTTTAGGATGTATTTATTTTCATTTGTGATGCTCTTCTTATATATTTAGGTTATTGAAGCCAAATAGTCTTTGGGGGAGGGCTGGGGGGTTCTTCTTTCTATTTATATTATAGAACAAGTATAGAGTTTTTACATAATGACTATTTTTAAAGAATGGAATACACCATTTTCCAAGCGTTTGGTAGGTTATAAATGCTTGTAATTCTGAATAAGCCAAGGAGTAAATTTACATTGTGTAAATTGTATAGTTGAAGCCACTGTGCACTGTACCCTGAAACTAAGGGAACAAAGAGCACAATTTGGACCAAAGGTGATTCTAAAGGACACACCAGCTTTAGAGCCTTTCACCACAGCGAGTTCTGCCTGACAGACTGAGTACTCTGCTGTAAAGAATACAAGTAAAACTCTTAATTCATTCCAAATTAAGAAGACTAATGACTTGTTTGTTCAAATTGATTGAACTTAATATAGCTAAGACATTTTAAAGCATTAGAAAGCTACCTCTGTTTTTAAGAAATTATTGTGTATGGTATTTTTTTCTATTTCCTTAAGGAGTAAGAGCAAGGGAAATTACACTAGAGAGATGTAGAAAAATGAGTCGATATCAAACAAACAAGCATCACTTTTTTCCTGCACTTGCTCTACAAACTTCTGGGAACTTAACTACAGGAATTTACTGAAGTCATAAGCACAGTAGGATTTTTCACGAAAGCATCCATAAAGATGTACCTTAAAAAAAGAACAGAGTTAACAGGGCAGACTATTGAACATCTCAACTTGTGCTAAAGATTTCCCTTTGTGAATAAAATCTGTTGATTAACAAACTGGCTATCTTGGCCAAGAAGGTTAATAGAACTGAGGGAGAGAATCAGGCATGCAGTTAACAGCCCAGAACAAATCCATCAAAAAGTCACAGAAAGCATATAACTTCATAGTCCCACATACCAAGCACGTGAGTTCAAATAGGTATTATTACTTTAATATTTATTAACATTACTAAAAATTCATTTATTTTCAACATTTTTAAAGTACATTTCTAAAGCAACTGCTGCTGCTATCTGAGATTGTTACAAAAACCTGAATCCCATCGAGAGATCAAGCGACACTCAGAGGGTTGTAGAACTCAGGTTTATTACACCAGTGGGCTCAGAGGAGTTAACACTCCAAGCTCTGGACCCTGTCTATAGGTTTACACAGGCTTTTATAGGGTTTTAGGTTTTAATTAAGTTCGTGCCATATGCAAATGAGGTGTTAGAAATGGACCAATCAGGAGTGAGCTTTTGGGAAACAATGGAATTTTAGGGGTAAGTTTCATTTTCCTAGAAGCAAGCCGTTTTACAGAAGCGCAAAAGCGGGAAGGCAATGGCCCTGCCTGGGAGGTCTTGCTGGTCCCTTTGTGGGTTTTGCCCCTTCAAGATTACTCAAAATAAGAAATTTTTGTATTTGAAAGGAAAATATTCAACATGAAAGTAAATGAAACACATGAAATCGAAAATAAACAAAAATGACAGCTATTTAGTAAATAACAAAGAAATGCATTATAACATTGGAAATTGTTACCGTTACTGTGATCTAAGCTGCCTGCTTGCTGAAATATATATATAAACTATTTGAAAGAAATGAAAATGTAAGAAATTGAGACAAAAAGAAGGTAGAAAATAGATTATTGAGTATTTGCAGATTGCTCAAGACTTAGGTTTATTTAGCTGCTCAATCAAATATGTACATTAGCTAAATATTTTGCTTCAAAGATAGAAGACTTCGTATGCTCTGGGGACTCTTGCTTACAAAAGTATACATAACAAAACAGAGCAGGTAATCAAACTACAAAACTAATATATCCCACAGATTGACAAACACAGATAGAGATTTTGGTTCATTGCAATTTCAGGCTTTGTAGTTGTAAATCTCATCACAGCCAATATTTGAATAAATGAATTTTCTTCTGAAAAGATATTTATTTTTTCTATTTAAGGAGACTAAAGAAGTTAAATGCTCTTTCTTACTCAACAATGAATAGCCCATTACAAATCTAGAGATAAATTCTCTCAGCTCCCCACTACTAAACTTTTATGTATTTTCAAAGAGGGTTGTGTTTTACAATTCTTTCCAGTGTGCATTTGAGTTTGACAAACCATTCCCACTTTTACATTTTTTGAGTCCCCCTTTTCCCAATACTCACCCCTGACGTTACTAAGGAAATGGAGAAAGTTAGAGTGGGACAGAGACAAAAATGATTTGCCAACTCCATTGCTCATAAAAGATTGGGATTACAGAATAAGGATATAGAGCCAAAAAAAGTTCACACTAGTAAAATTTTGAGTATGTTGTCAAAGGAGGATGTTTCTACCATGTAGACAAGTTTTCAAAGCTAAGGTATTTTCTTAAGTTTTTAATGCATATTTATGCATTACCAACCCTTGAAATCCGCCTCTCTCTTTTTAGATAATTTTTATAACTCAAAAGAAGCTAAAGCTTCTCTTTAACTTATACAGATTATGTCTTGATTTTAAACCTGCACTTCAATTGTCTGACTCAAAAAATAAATATGCTAACCACTTTATTATTTTGGCATGTTCATATTGTTGATTTCCAAGATGTATGAGAATATAAAAAGGATTTTCAGTTCTATTATCTAGGCCTGGTTTGTCAGCCTTTCCATGTGATCAGACAAGCGACTGCATAAACAGATGGGTGTTGGATTTTGTCAAAATAAAGTGGGAAGCTAGTTCCAGAGATAGAAATCCTCCTTGGGGAAATACTACTCTACTGACAGTAGTGTGGAATCCAAATTTGAGTGTGATAGCAGAGTGTTTGACTGGCTTCAATTTGTAAGCGCTATTGAGGGATCAGTGTGATTTAACCAGTTAACCAGCGCTAAACACAAACACATGAAGAACTTAATAATGAAAGTGTGTATCTTACATTACATTAAAATTAGGAAGTCAATTTCTAAATGGGAAAAAAGAGTCAATCAATCAATATAAATGCCCTAGTAGCTAGGTAAGAAAATCATATGCAATCCTGCTTTTCTGTAGCTTGAAGAACATGGAACTTCAAATATATATGCTTAGTTAAAAGGTACAAAACGTGTCTAACAGGAATCTGAGGAGAAAGAGCACTGGATAATTCCTTGCTTAACCCAAATCCACTCAAATCCCTAGGGATTTTAGCTCTCTGTTTTTCCTGACCTGAAATCCCTAGTTTCATTCCTCTTCTCATTCAAATTTGTCCAGGTTTCTGATTTTCAATAAAAAATTCGAGTTAGCCCTAAAACATATCTCTCTAGCCCATCAGTGTTCTCTCATTCTTTAGAAACTCCTAACATTGCACCAAAAAGAGGACTTGGCACTTAAAAGGAATTCAATAAATACTTCCTGAATAAAAGATTAAAACATGTGCAGAACTTTACCAAGTGATCTTACACACCACTGTATTTATGACATTGAGAGAAATCCTACCTGATGTGGGTAGCACAAATCTCATTCTTTCCTTTTCATTCTCATTGAGGCTCAAATGACTTACACCTTACCCTGATTATACTATAGAAAGCAAAGCCAGGGTTGGAATATAGACTTTACAAACCTAGTGTAGTGCTCTCTCCTCTGCTGCTTGTCCTTTCAAACTGGATTATTTCATACCTTAAGGTTGCATGCAATAATGTATTCTTTCAAGAAGGTAGCGGGGGAAGGTATAGCTCAAGTGGTAGAGTGCATGCCTAGCATGCATGAGGTCCTGGGTTCAATCCTTAGAACCTCCTCCAAAATTAAATAAACCTAATCACCTTTCCCCCCTCGACCAAAGACTAAAAAAAAATAATAATGAAATAATACAATAACAAATAAAGTATTAAAAAATAAATGAAGGATAAGAAGGTAGGCATTCTGAGAGTGATAATTTTACTGTAGGATATTAGGGACAAATTAAATAATTTAAACCATTGCTTTTTATGAAGAAAATAGGTATATTAACAGAAAATTCAAAATTAGTATAATTTCTAAAAAGGATACATGAAAGATTGAATCTGAACAAGCACAAAAAGTAATAAAACAAACAATTTTATGCAAAATGAAATTAGCATAATAAAGCTTTCCTCGTGAGGCAGAGGGGAATGTCCCATCTTGCTTGTCTGCTTCACTCCTATGTTTACAGGAAGGAAGCCTACTTTTGACATAATTCACCTGTATATGGAATTTCAGTCAGTTTCCTTTTAAAAGAGAGGCCTATTTGGGAAATAGAGCTATATAAATACAGAAGGAAACTCCCCAAGCTATGTAAAGTCACTCACTTGGTCTTCTATTTATTAATGCAAAGCACCAAGCATGGCTGACTGGAGGGAAAACAAAAAGCTTGAAAGAGCAGGACTAAGTGAAAAAAAAAACAGATGACCTACAAGACTTATTAAAAAGATAATTTCCTATATTAAAATGTCTAGCCAATAGAATAATCATTGTTCAGGTTTAAACCTTGTTTGATAGATAAAGATAAGGAAGTCTCCCAAAATACAGAGAAGTAAGAAAAAGAAATAGAAATAATATGAAAATGTTAAGAGAATAAAAAGTTAATTCAGGAGGTCCAACAGCCA